ACAGCTTGTTACAGCTGGAAAGAGCCCCGGGGCAATCTGCTTGCTCCTTGTTTCATCAGAATTTAAGAAGCCTGGAGAAAAATTATATAAGTAGATAATTGCCCATCTTCACCCCTACAATTGAGAGCAAGTTAGGGACTTGATACTGATAATAAATTGTAACCATTATTTCTTTCAACTTTGTAGATTACTGATCTTTTTTGTTATTACCACTATATTACAATATACTTAGTATACAAATAACAGTAAATTAATGATGCTTTCCATGTTCCAAACAAATGATAAATGTTTGGTTGATATTCTGAACATTTTTAATTAAATCATTTATTTTGTTTCTATCTTATGTGAGTTTAAATGTTCAGTTATCCCCACAATGTAGATATTTGGAGATATGAGGAAAAGCAGATAGTCTATTTAATAATTGTGACTAGGACTTCATCATGTCCCCATGATTTCCTTTTTTTTAAGCTTCTGATATATTATAGCATGGACATTTTACACTTCATTTTCACTGCAACCACATTCCTCCTCTCTTCTTCCTAAAAGGAATAAATCCACTTTTATACCAGCTATGTGCCTCCTCCTCTTCTTCATGAATTTGTGCTAAGATTTCATTTTCCAGAGCTTACATATTGATAGATCGTCCACAAAATCACATCTAATTGCTTCTTGGAAACCATAGGGACATACATCAATATCATTTATAATTTTGATTGTTATCATTTTTGACTTGGTCTTAGTTCCTTTGAAGTTTTTGAAAGTCTAAAATTATATAGCTTGGAATAGCTGTATCTAGCTCAGTACAGGAGTACAGTAATGGCGATTTTTTTGCTTTATTCCCCAGGAGACAGTCTGTGAGTCCCCATGTTTTTCTAACCACGAAAAGAGTTTTCAGAGTTCATTGTCTTGACTGTAGTTGGGATGGTTTTTCTTTCTGTCTCCTCACAGTTGAGTATATCTGTTCTCTACTTGCTCACGTGAACTCAGATTTTCCTCCAGTGTAAATGGTGAAGCTTGGCATTTTCTCCTTGGAATACTTGAATCCTCTGTGGAATCATTAAGATCCACAGTGTGTACCACTAGCAGATCATGGATGTATGCTAACAACTAAATCTGTTGTTTAGTCTTTCCCATGTAGAAAAGCAGCCTAACATGGTCCTTTATGCTTATGCCCATCACCAAGTTTATTCATCACTATAAACTTGTACCTAGCCAGCTGTTAATTGTTTTACTTCTGCAGTTGACAAAGCTGAAGTTTGTCTAGGAAATTAACTTTTTCAATTAAAATTTGCTGTTGTATTACAAAACTAGTGCTTTAATCAGGACACACTAAAAATCAAGGTTACTTTCTAAAATTCAAAAGCACCAACTCCTACTTCTCGGGCTATTACCAGTGCCGAAATTGCTATTCTTTGTTCAGTAGCACTGTGTGTTCAAAACAGCAATCATTTCTTTTTAAAAAAATAACAGTCCTTCCTGGGAATGATGTAGGAATATATTTCAGACAAGAATGTGTATCGATAATCAAACATAGCTCTTTAAAAACTCGAAGTGAAGAATTGGTTAGTACTTAATCAACTGAACTGTTCCTTTTTCTGCAATATTGTGATTCTTAGCATGATTACTGGGTTTCCAATTTGACACTTCTAGAGACCTGTAAATCAGCACACATGCTGTGTCGCAGTCTGTCATCTTGTGTCGTAGCTTTGGTTATTTACTTCCCTTCATTATCCAACATCTATTTACTGTGTAAATCAGTTGAGGAGTTTTCTGCAATGGACATTTATGAGAAAAAATGTGTATATCTGAGTTGCTTTTCAATTACAAACATGCACAGATTGTCTGGGTTTATGTGCATATATTTTATTATTATTTCACTTTTGTATGTCAGTGGAATCTGATGTAAATGTAAATCTAATAGTATGGGCTCTACTGACCAAGTGCACTGTCATAATATATCTTTGATCAATCAATCTCATGAGGAAAATGTTGCAAGTGTGATAAAATTCTGTAATTTGAATTGATGCCCGTTATGGACAGTTACTAGGTCTGCATGCTGTCCAACTACAACACTAAACCATTTCCAAGATAACAGCTTCACTTTGATGATCTTTAGATTGTATGCCTTCTTTCTTTTTTTTTATTTTGCAATTTATTTATTTATTTACTTTACATTTGGATGCAGTTTACCCTCCCTTCTCTTCTCCCAGTCCCTCCCCCAACCCCAATCCTCTCCTCCTCCATTTCTATTCAGAAAAGGTCTGGATGGATATCAACAAAACAGAGCATATCAAGTTGCAGTAAGACTAAGTAACTCCCTCTTGTATTAAGGCTGAGAAAGGCAACCCAATATGAGGAATAAGATCCCAAAAGCCAGCAAAAGAGTAAAAGCCAGTACCTACTCCCACTGTTATGAGTTCCACAAGAAGACCAACTGTAATATGTGTTCAGAGGACCTAAGTCAGTCCTATGCAGGCTCCCTGGTCATTGGTTCAGTCTCTTTGAGCCCCTTGTGAGCGTAGTTTAATTTATATGTGTTTTTTCTTGTTATGTTCTTGACACCTTTGGCTCCTACAATCCTTCCTCCCTCTCTTCATCAGGATTCCCTGACCTTGGCTTAATGCTTGACTGTGGGTCTTCATCTTTTTCTATCAATTACTGGATGAAGCCTCTCTGATGACAGTTGGGCTGGGCACCAATCTATGAACATAGCAGAATATCATTAGGCATAATTACATTGACTTTTTTCTTCAGTCATATTTGGCACTATACTATGTCTCTGGGCCATCCAGCCTATGGGTTCTGGTGTTCCAGGCAATGTCAGGGATGTGTTCACTCTCATGGCATGGATCTGAGCCTGGAAGAGTTATTGTTTGGCCAGTTCTACAATCTTTGTGCCACCCTTACTACAGCACATCCTGTAGGCAGGAAAGATTGAAAGTAATGTGGCTAAGTTGGTATTCCAATTCCTCCACTGGAAGTCTTGTGTGGTCACAGGAGATGGTCATTTCAGTCTATGTATCCCCTATTGCTTGGAATCTTAGCTGAGGTCATCTTTGTAGATTCCTGAGAGTTTCCCTTGTACCAGGTTTCTACCTCTCCCCCAAATGACTCTCCCTTTCTAGTTGTCTCTTTCAATGATTATTTTTCAATAAGAATGACTCAAGATTTGGAGAAAGGGTTGAATTTTTCTTTCCTTTTAAAAAAGTTATTAACATTTGTTTGTTTGCATGTACATACATATCTGTGGGGGTACATATATGTTTGTGGGTGTGAAGGGTGCATGCACCATGCAGCACATGTAGAGGCTAAAAACCCAACTTTCTGCCATGTAAATTTTGGGTTGGAACTCTGACCATCAGGCTTGGAAGCATGTGCCTTTACCCAATAAGCCATCTTGCAACCAGCTAGTTTTTTTTTGTTTGTTTGTTTGTTTTGTTTTGTTTTCCGTTTAGTGAATATAGTAGTACTAATTTGGCCTATGTTTCTCAAAAAGAAACCTTGAAATGACAGAGGAAAATGTGGTTCATTTGTAAGGTGATCAAAGGAATTACCTTTAGGGAATGGAATAGAGAGAGGGGAAGGAAATAAACTGTAAGAGTCAGTTATTATGGAGGCTATTGTTAGTCACAGTACAGTTGTTCAACATTACTGAGGGAACTCTAGGGGTATAGTGAAAAAATTCTCATAGTTTTTACCCCCAAGCAACAGGACATGGATCAAGGAGTAATGTTCTTCCAACTCTTATCTGTCAGTGCCATAATCCTGTTAGTTATGCCTTAATTGTTCTTGCAAATCTAGTCACCCTAAAATAAGTCCTTCATGCTTTGTAGTACAGCAAGTGCTTGCTAATGTGCACTTAAGGAAAGTACCAAAGGTATATAAATTGGTTACTGCCAGCATCTATTACAAACCCTATCCTTGTTTTGAGGTATTCATTGTGTAGAATGAGAGATAGAAAGTTAAAGCTATAAATCATAATAGTATATGGTAAGTGTCTATGGTTGCACAAAGGATGATCAAGAGAACTTTTTGTCATAATAATTATATTTGAATATGCAGTTAGCAAAGATGGACTTAGAAGGAAAAATGTATATATCTTAAAACATATATACATATATATATATATGTTATATATATATATATATAAAATCTGCTAAAAAATCCTCTGGTATAATTAGGTCCTTACATACATCCTTTGGAATGTCTATTTTATTGGCAAATTCATCATAAAAATAATTGAAACAGGAAAAAGCAAAGATACTGTGCCAAAAATGTCTTGCTATGTATAAGAATTATGAAATCATATCTTCTGAATACCATTCCATTCCATTTTTGGTCTGGTTTGACTCTATGGGCTTTGGAAGATTATTATGTAAAATCTCCTTCACAGTGACATAAGCATCAAGTTCATTTGTCCAAATACCCTTGTTAAATAGATATAAAGAAGATCATCATCTTCTCTTATTTGTTCTCATTTGAACATGAAGACCAGAGGACAACCTCAAGAGTCGGTATGCAGGAATTTTCCACCATTTTGTGAAACAAGGTCTCTCTTTTAATTAAAATGTCACCAAGTAGTATAGACTAGCTAACCCAATGAGCTCTGGGAAATTGTCTGTCTCTGTTTCCCATCTTGACTCTGAATTCAGGACATTCAAACTCAGATTCATATACTCACAAGACAAATGCATAAGTAATTGAGTCGAGCCCTTTAGTACCTTTCCAAGAGATAAATCATTTTTTTTTGGTAATAGAGACTAATATTAAAGTTATAGTTCTATACATAACACCATTATTCTAGTTTACTTTCATGATGATAATTTAATAGAAAATCAAATTTTCCAAATGAAAATGGAAGAAATTTATTAATTATCATACCCATGGCACCTTGAATATTATAATGGGAAATTAAAATATTAAATGAAGATTTTATGATGAATTTTAACTGTCTTCTCTAGAGTAGTATTTACTACTATTTATTTTTCCTTTTATGCCAGTTGAAAGAATTCAGAATCAGTGGGATGAGGTACAGGAACACCTTCAGAACCGGAGACAGCAGTTGAATGAAATGTTAAAGGATTCAACGCAGTGGCTAGAAATGAAGGAAAAAGCTGAACAGGTCATGGGACAAGCCAGAACCAAGCTTGACTCATGGAAAGAGGGTCCTCACACGATGGATGAAATCCAAAAGAAGATCACAGAAACCAAGGTTAGTGTCCAATATCATTTTTAAAAGAAAATACTTCTTATAGCAAATAAAATCATGCCATGGATTAAAAGTTAATGTCTTTAATGGAAAATGACATTTAAAAAATGATTAGTGGAATTTGTTTGTTTGCTTGCTTTCTTGCTTTCAAGATAAAGTCTCAAACTCAAAATCATTCTTCAAGGTGGGATTACAGGTTAATGCCACCACATCTACATGATCAAAATTTTGAGACATAATAGAAGTTAAAGGAAAACCGATAGCCTGTCACAACTTTAAAGTTAATTTTCATCTTATAGTATGTACATGGTGTGCTAGTTTATGTTTTGCTTTGTTGAAACAGGCTCTTAAGTAGCCTATTCTTGCCTCCCTTCCTGATCCTCCAACCTGCACCTCCAGGGGGCTTAAATTACAGGCATGTGCCATGCCACCAAGCTAAATTTCTACTGGGGATTGAACTAAACACTTCCTGAATGCTAGGCAAGAACTCTATTAAGTGAGCTATTTCCCACCCATGGGCTGTGTTTCACACTGAAACATTATTTTAAGAGCATTTCAAAGATGATATTGCATACCACACTTCTGTGATATTATAAAGTTAAAGTAACATTTGCCACCAATTTCTCCCTAGAAAAAGTAATAAATTGATCCCTTCCCCAAGCCATACCTTACAGAGAGCTCTATCTAGAGAAGGGAATGAGAGGGTATCAGAGACAACATAAAAGGAACATGTACTCTCACGTTCTTTTCCCATTCTCTGACGTTAGCACAGCATTGTCTACACCTCCTATTCTTTCTCTTTTTCCTCTTAAAATATTAGAAATACCTTTCTACTCGATACTTCAGTACTGTCTAGGCTAAAAGAAAATGGCAAAGGAATAAAGTGTACTAATGTTATCAAGTACCATGCATGATGCTTTACATATATTTGATATTTTCAAATGTTGCATTTATTGGCCATCTGAGACATTAAATGCTAAACAGTAGATACTGTTAAGAGATTTTAAGCAATGAAATAATACAGTTGTGATTATGATTGAGAACTAAACCCAAAACTCTCTACTTTTTTTAACCTGGCAGAAAAGACTTTCTAGTAAACAAGAATATAAATTTGACATGAGTTATATCATCTAAGAAGAAAAACCATATAATTTTCTTAGATACTGTTTTTTTCATTTCTAAAATATCTCATTTCCAAAGCAATCTGTTTATATTATATTAAGTTGCATTGAGAAATAAACCTTAAAATATCAACAGCATAATACAATGAATGAAAATAATAGCAATTTATTTGATACTGATATATCTTATAAGCTCTATCCAAATGGTTACTTGGGAATAAGCTTTTCAAGGTTTTAAACTATCTTGTTAAACATATGCTTATTCTAAGGCCACTGAGAATGTGTTTATTCAGTCCATGGAATTTTATAGCCAGGCCTAGGAATTTTACCATGTCTCATTGACCAGAACTTTTTCCCAGTTAATTTCAGGGAGGCTAAACGGAATTAATAAACTTTTAGCCACTCTTCATCATACCCACATTGTTAAAGGATCTAAGCTGCTGTGAAGATAAGATCTTCACATATACCCAGAATTATATAAGACCATGTAGGATTTTAAGACTTATCATTACATCTGTCATTAGTAATTACCTGACACAGATGCATAAGCAATTTCTAGTAATTATTCTCCTAATTCTTAGCCTATTTGAAATGCAATACACATGGTTAATTTTGAATGATCATTTCTATTTTATTTTTCTTTCATATATTACATTCTGATTGCAGTTTTTACTTCCTCAATCCTCACAGTTCCCTTCCCGAAATCCCTTGCTCCCCCAGATCTACTCCTCTATTTCCCGTCAGAAAAGGGCAGGCCTCCCAGGAAAATTAACAAACATAGCATATTATGTTGCCATAAGAATAGGCACGTCCCCTCATATTAAGGCTGGATGAGGCAACTCAGTAGGAAAAAAGGTTCTTGAATGCAAGCAAAGAGTCAGAGAACCCCCTCAACTCCCACTGTTAAGTGTCCCACAGGAACACCAAGCTACATAACCATTACATACATGCAAAAAACCTAGGTCAGGCACAATCAGGTTCCCTGGTTCTCAGTTCAGGCTCTGTGAGCCCCTGCAACCCCTGTGAACCATTTTCCTTTGGTGCTCTTTACCCCTCTGGCTCCTACAATCCTTCTTCCTCCTTCTCTGCTGGGTTCTGCGAACTCTGCCTAATGTTTGGCTATGGGTCTCTGCATCTGTTCCCATCAGTTGCTCTCTGATATTGTTTCCTTGAAGTTAGTATACTATGAATTTCACAGATCTTAAACAAAAAGCATCAATGAATACAAAATTATCAAGAAGAGATAGATGTAAAAAAAAGGAAAATGAGAGCTAGTGCTATCTTTGAATAAAGGAAAGTCTAAAAGTGGCAAAAAATTAATCTTACCCTGAGAAAATCCTAAAGGGGTGTCAAGAAGTATTAAGGTGTAGTACGTAGCTGCTAGAAGAGTACGTAAATTCATATAGGAAAATGAAAGAAAAAGAAATATGGAAGAAGAAAGCAAAACAGTCTAATTATCAAAAAACATCTAAAACAACACAGGATTTTATTATAATTACTTTGTCTTTGTCTCCTGGATAGTATGCATGAACTCTAAACCAATCCTATTGTTGATACTAATGTTGAGTGTTTGTTGTATGCTAAAGACAGTGTTAGTTATTTTGTATACATTGTTTTATTTGGTTCTCTCATCCATTGTTTGTGAAAATTGTTCTTTTTTTTTTTTTTTTTTTTTTTTTTTTTTTTTTTTTTTTTGTTTGTGAAAATTGTTCTTTTTTTTTTTTTTTTTTTTTTTTTTTTTTTTTTTTGGTTTTTCGAGACAGGGTTTTTCTGTGTAGCTTTGCGCCTTTCCTGGAACTCACTTGGTAGCCCTGGCTGGCCTCGAACTCACGGAGATCCGCCTGCCTCTGCCTCCCGAGTGCTGGGATTAAAGGCGTGCGCCACCACCGTCCCGGCGAAAATTGTTCTTTTTTAATTGTATTCAGAAAACTGAAGGCTGATGAGATTCAGTAACTTCATTTTTGTAGGAATAGGGATGCAGGATGGGAATTTATAGAATTTATTATTGTGGTTGACCTCACAAATTTTCTCTTCTACCCACTGTCTGTAAGAATAAAACAAATTGATAAAATATCAGGAGACTCTGAAAAAAACAAGAGTAATTATCAATTGACAAATTTATATCACAAATCAGCCAATTGGCTTAAAAAGAAAGTAATTAAATAGTGCAATATGAGAACCTTTTCACAGTATTTTCTTCTTGGAAAAAAGGATAATTTCAAATTATACTACTTTTAGATGAAACTACTATTTTTAATTCTTTGCAAAGTTGAGGAATGAATAATAGAGATATCTGCTTTTCATGGATAAATGTGTTCTCACTGGTGAGTAGTGTTGGCAGGCTTATCACTTACAATTTTCTTTCAAGAAAAATGTTTAGAAATACACATGAGAAGACACTGGGTAATCTGACATGAATCTTCCTCCTCATAAATTATTGCTACATTTGTGTGTCTATGATTGCCAAGAGAACCTACTAACCTGGCAAGGCCCTCATCATTGTTGGAGAGCTATAGTGGAATCAGTAAGGCTTCCTTGCTTCCTTATACTTAAAGACGACTCAATCTACCCTTAATAAACAGCAGTGATTGGTTTCAAATGCTAACACAACTCTATGGCCTTTTTAATATTTTAAATCAATCACCATACTTGAATTCCACTGATCTGGATTCCTAGCAATCTGGATTTATTAATGATTTTTAAGCTTAAATCATCATCTTGAATCCCTTCTAGTTATTATCTACACATATTTTAATTTTTCTATAATTCTTTAAAATTCTGAATTTTCAGTTTAGTGTCATTGCCTGATTTTCATCATTTTATAATTTTTACTCATTATTGTTTTTAGTTTTTCATAGTATTTCACTAAGTTTCACCTTTAACTCTTCTCTTTCTGGTTTGATATTTTTGAAACTCTCCACTTCTTGCTTAGAGAAATTAATGGGAAGTAATTCTATAAATAATACCACATTCACATAGTAGAAATCCTTTATGAGATGGAATCTTGGAAAGCTCATCTTAAAAACACGGTCAGGAGAGGAGAAGACAGCAGTAGAAGAACATTGGATTGGCATAAAAACAGACTGCAGACTATCTATTCTGTGAATTACTAATTAGCAGGTCATGAAAAACTATCCATATTCTATATGTACATTCTCTCTTTGCTGTATAAACCATTAATTTTCTGGAACAATCATGTGCATCTGGAATGCAGATTATTTTATTAACCACATCTCTTCATCTGACGTTCTTAAATTTGGTAAAAAAAAAATGCCCTTTTAAGAAAGACAGATATTATAGGGAAAAAAACATACAAAATTCCACACTAATCAAAATCCTTGACAATAAACCATAACAGAATCCTATGAGTGATGATGCCATTTAAAAGTTTCAAAGGAAGTATGCCATTGGCACCTGAAACTGCCATCACCAATCATCCTAGTATTTATTTCATTTAGTACAATCTTGGTTTAGTTTGTAGCCTGTTACTAGGCTGAGATTGGTCCAAACTTGGCAATAAGTTCTTTGGAAAAAAAATATTTCTCGGTCATTTTGAACTTTCTTTTTCCAATGGTCAGGCTCATAGTTTTCATTTTTTTCCTTTCAGTATTTGAAAGAGAAATTCCTTTTTTGTCTGCTCTGTGATTGCTTTTGTGTCAAATTCAGCATAAAAGCTTTTCAAACGTGATGGCATTAGCTGTTTTGTGCTTGGCTGAGCTAAAAGTACATGAATTCAATAGAGAAGTGAAATCTGGTTTGAGCCTAGCTGATTTGGCTATTTAATACTTGAAACTATTTCAAGTTGGAAATCTAATAATTTAAAAATTACTAAATAAACATTTCAAACACTGAAAAAAACTGTTTTAAGTATGTCCTTTACTG